TCCCTTTCATAAACACGATTTTAGTACAAGTATTGTTTGAATGTATTAAGTATATGTTTTGTGTGAGTGTGTAGTCACTTTCTTCTATCACATAATTATGAAGTATTTGATATGAAATACGTGTTATGTGTACATATTGTTGTTTATATGTGAGAATGCATATTCACTTTCTTCTAACTCATAGATATGATTTATTCTCTATGAGATACGTGCTAGGTGTTATATATTGTTTGTCTATTTGAGAAGGGCGTGGAAATTGATGTTTTATATAAGTGTTAAATGATTTAAACTGTGTAAGTATTTATATCTACGAAAATGTTGGGTAGAACATGGGTAGATGGGATAGTTGGTGTGTGATGGAAGATGGTATGAGTAAACCTTGGTGACTATGGAGTTAGCGCCTACTGTTAAGTAAACCTTGGTGACTATGGAGTTAGCGCCTACTGTTAAGTAAACCTTGGTGACTATGGAGTTAGCGCCTACTGTTAAGTAAACCTTGGTGACTATGGAGTTAGCGCCTATTGTATAAACTTTGGTGACTATGGAGTTAGCGCCTACTGTTAAGTGAACCTTGGTGACTATGGAGTTAGCGCCTACTGTTAAGTAAACCTTGGTGACTATGGAGTTAGCGCCTACTGTTAAGTAAACCTTGGTGACTATGGAGTTAGCGCCTATTGTATAAACCTTGGTGACTATGGAGTTAGCGCCTATTGTATAAGCCTTGGTGACTATGGAGTTAGCGCCTATTGTATAAGCCTTGGTGACTATGGAGTTAGCGCCTATTGTATAAACCTTGGTGACTATGGAGTTAGCGCCTATTGAGTAAACCCTGGCGACGATGTGACTTCGTGCCTATACCTCAGGTCAATCCTTAAGAATGAAGGATATATGATTCTTAGGGTAGATCCTTAAGATAAGTGGAGATAATGGGGATGAGTAATTGGGTTGATTGTTATGATTAAATATAATAATTATATTATTGTGGGTTGAAAACCCTATATGCTCACCAGGCTCCCAAGCCTAACCCACTCAGTTTTCTTTGTATCACAGGTATCGATTGCGAAGACCCATTTCACTGAGAGATTATAAGACATGTAAATCACTAGTGTAAATGAATGTATGATATGTTTATGCTTATGTGTCTGTATCGGAACATGACATCCCGAGGTTTTATTATTAAAATAAAAATACATTCTCTTTGAGAAATGTTTTGATAAGTTATTATCATATCTTGTTTTGGGAACAAATTCCGCAACCGTTTTCTTTAAACGATTACTCTGATTTATAAAACAAAGCATAAACAAATCGGTCTTTTCTGGCCGTGAAATTGGGGATGTCACAGTTGGTATCAGAGCATTAGTTTAAGCGAACTAGGAATTTGTAGGATTTCTAGACTTAAACTTAGAATGCTAAGCGATGATTGTGAGATGAGTGTCTACCATATTTTAGACACAAGCACTAGTATATTTTAGGAAAGATGCCTAAAATGATTGTATGTGCTAAATGCTATATGTTTGCCATATATGATGTTATTTGTTCGGATCTATGGTCTGTTGCCGACCGGATCTGGAAACCTTATGTGTTTAGGATTCTAAGCGTACGACTACGGTATTAGAACTAGCATGTAAACGTTTCGGAGTGATAAGGAGATTTATACGTCTATCGTAAATAAAGCTTTCTTATCTTAAATTCTCGCCCGGTACACCGAACGTCTGCTTGGGTGTACAAAACGTTATGGTGAAGACTCGTAGAGAGTTGAGTAAATGGAGGAAATGAAAAGGCTTATGATAGTGAATGACACCTATCGGAAGATATCGTAAGAGTGGTGTCTTGCCTTTAGAATATGTCAGACAGTACATTTAGAGGAATACGATACGTCCGAAGTACACCGTCGATTGGCGGGATGATGGAACAATTGGTGTTATTCCTGAAGTTGTCCCATCGGATGAACTTTCCACCACCAACCAAGTTGAAGCAGGATTGATGATTGAAGATACGCATGGAAGAAGTCCTAGTAGAGTCTAGGAAAATTTTATGATTAATTGGACACATTCGTATGTGTTAAATTGTTTTGTGATTTTAGGACTTGGGGACTGCGCGACAATACTTGGAACGAGTATGAGTAGGTGTGAATAGTAGTAGAGATCTATACTACTGGAAACACAGGACTCACGCTTGGATCTGGGAAAGTCACAAGGTTACCAAGAAGCTAGTAATTGGTCCCGTTTTATTCAAGTATGTCGTTACCATCATTTCAGTAATGACTAATGAGATGATTGTTATTCCGACCCTAGTGGTCATATCAAATTGAGTCCGACTACGATGAGTTTGTTACGTGGTTCATGGAACCAAGTTCGATGTAAAATCTGACTTAAGTCAGAAGATTGAAATCAATGCGATCGATGACATCGCACTCGTTGTTAAGGAAGCTTGTAGCTAGAAATGCTACATGCAAAAATGTGATTATTTCGCATTAGAATATGAAGGAAAGTATATTCCATTATGGAATTTGACTCTAAGAGACCTGAGTCTAAACGTTGCATCATACGATGAGAGGTCATTAGAACATGACCCATCGGTCTATTACAATAGATAAGGGAAAGTACTTATCCTAAGAAGAAGAAGGAGTCCTCAATAAGAATTTATTTTGTAACTTGAAGGTTATAAATGAAATTCCAACATAGGACGAAGAACAAGTGCAAGATTTAGCATCACGTTTATTACTTAGGATGGAAACATAACGTATGGAATCATTATACCAGCCCTATTTCCGTTGATGATTCCGGGACGTAATCATCCTAAGGGGGAGATAAATGTAACGCCTGTAGATCTGGGCTAGTCAATTTAGAGACAATGAGCATCAAAAATGACTTTTTGATAGAAGATTATTTAGAATGAATAATATTAACTAAGTTGTAGTGGTCGTGACAAGGTTTCCGAATATATAAAGAATGCCGAAATCCGAGTTATAACGAAGAAGTTATGATCTGTCGAAGTTTCGCGACAGAACCGACACGACACAGCGCGACGTAAATAGTGAATTTACGTTAGAGCGATATTTGGCCTTAGCGATCTAAATGAAAGCCGTAGAATACGTTAAACCGAGAGCGTGCATAAAAAGAACGTCTAAGTCTGACTTCGTATGAGGAAATTATGATTTTTCGAAGTTTCAGCATTAGCAGTATGCAGCCCGAAGTTCGAATATGGGATCGAACGATATTTAGCCAAAACTTTATAAATGAGAGTCGAAGATCTCATCGATAGTAGTACAACGACGGATGCTGATGATAACAGTGCTAAGGATAAACTGATAAAGATTTCTTCCTTGTAGAGTTTATCCATTACAATTTACACTATATTATAAGCTTTAAATGCAAATTTCACAAAGTAATTCACTATTGATGCATAAAAAGATGATGATCATATAGTAATTTACACTTGAAACACTACAAACAAAATAAAAATAGAAAAAGGGCAAAAGTTATGCAATGGGGAGGTGAGGTTTTACAATGGCTTTTGATCTGCTACTAGTTGTAGAGTTTATGTTCCTGGGTTGTGTTTTATCATCATATAATACTTTAGTCAATACATCAATATCCTTGAACAATATTCCATATCCATAAACCTCACCACTTCTCCTTTTGAGCTCGTTTGACATCTTCTTCATTGACTATAGTTTAATGAAAATCAGTATTAAACCTTTAGAAAAAACCTGAATTCATAAGACCTCCCAAAAGATCACTGCTCATGAAACTTTTCAAGCTTCACTGCTTCACTTCTGAACTATCAAATTCAAGTTCAAGACAATCGAATTGATAAGTATACATTCAAATCCAAGAACCAGAAAAGAAAAAAAACAGAGCCTAGGTTCTGCATCAACGATTAACGGAAGAAAAAAGAAAATCAAAACCAAGAAGAAGAAGAAGAAGATCTTGAGGTGTTTCTTAGCAGAAAAAAAAAACACAGAACCATGTTTCTGCATCTATTCAGAGAAGGAACATAAAAAACTGAGGAGGTTTTGTTGCTTAACTGAGAAAGACGATGATGAGGCAGAGATGGTGACGCAGGAAGGGTGTGAGCAATTTCAATGGAAGGCGCCTGGTGTGTTCTGTGATTTTTATGATCGATGGTATTAGGGAAAAGAGAAAAGGGCAAAGGGCAAATATGTGAAGTAATCCCGAGGACCGAGTCAACTGCAATCCGATCAAGGACCCGATCATACATTCGGGGTCAGTTATTACCGACCGAATCAGCACTTTTGGGCTTTACCAAACGGGCTAACCGGACCGAGTCAACCAAAATTGCTGACCCGGACCCAGTCAGCTCAGTATCAAACAACCCCTAACTCTCCTTTACGGTTGGAATTCTACTTTTTTGTTTTAAATTGATTATTATTTTTATTTATTCACCACAGTAAATACAACATTTTTATAATATGTCGGTGAGATGGTATAATGATGGTGACGTGGTAGATTTAATACGTGAAAACCACAACCCACATCCTAACAACTTTCAAATTGTGGTATTTGGAGAGAAAAATAAAATACCAAGACTAAAAATACGTGATCAATATTACACTGGTACAAATTTAAAATCACGTCATTACTTTCTTTTTTAAAAGAGAAATTGATATAAAAGAGACAAGAATAATATGAAAAGGACAATAATTATATAGTTTTAATCATTGAAATATTTGATAATTATGAAAAAACGAATTCACAGTGCAACATATTTTGATTAAAGAATTGTCAATTGGGCGAGTGACTGAGTGAGTGGTCTTCTTCCTCCCCTCTTCCCTTTCAAACCCTCATCGCCTTTGTTTACTATTTTATTTCTTTCACAGAATCCGCGTATTCCATGAACTTTCTCGTGATCCCATCCATCTCTCTTCAATTCTGCAACCGCAAAAGCATCTTAATCTCCCACTTGCGCACTCGCAAACCCTAGATTTTATAACCATCCAGGATTTTGATTCCTATTTTTCATAACCAACTCCAATAATGGCTGAAAATGGCGAAGAGAAGCTCATTGCCGTTGCCCGTCACATTGCTAAAACTCTAGGTCACACAGACAATGCCATGACTGATGACATACTCCAAATCTTCTCTAACTTTGATGGAAGATTACGCGAGAAGCTCAATGAAAACTTAAACGACGGAGACGATTCACGAAACGGTGTAGCTGCGCTTGATCAAACCCTTAAATCTCTCGATCGTCAGATCTCTAGATACGTCACGGTTGACCACCCGATTTGGTCAGATTCCGCCGACGCGTCCACCTTTCTTGACGCTGTCGATGAACTCGTTGCCGCGATCCGGGAGTGGACGCCGATGGCAGCTGATAAAGCAGTCACGGCGTGCCTTGACCGAGCCGAGGATCTACTCCAACAGTGTATGTTTCGGCTTGAGGAGGAGTTTAAGCTGCTAATGGAACGCGGCGGCGCTGATCCCTTCGAGAACACTGACGGAGGTGGCGGTGCTTATGTAGATTCTGATGATGAAGAAGACAATGATGAATACGATGAAGCAGAGATTCCGGTAGCGCATCCGGTTTCGGACTACAACATCATAATCGACGCTCTCCCATCCGGTACGATCAACGATTTACACGAGATCTCGAAAAGAATGGTCGGTGCGGGGTATGGAAAGGAGTGCTCGCTCGCTTACAGCTCGTGCCGGAGAGATTTTTTAGAAGAAAGCCTCTCGAGATTAGGTTTTTCAGGGTTGCAAAAATCAAATGCAGCTCTTGAAGATGATGATAACGAAGTCGAAATCGACAAGTGGATCAAAGCAATCAACATGGCTGTTCGAGTGTTTTACCCTAGCGAACGCCGCCTCTGCGACCGTGTTTTTGGGTACTCCTCCTCCACCGCTGCTGCAGCTGATCTATCTTTCATGGAGGCGTGTAGAATTTCCTCTATGGAGCTCCTTAATTTTGCCAATGGAATCGCAATGGGTAGCAGAGCACCAGATAGACTGTTCAAAATTCTTGACGTTTATGAAGCTGTGAAGGATTTAATGCCTGAATTCGAGGTACTATTTGCTGATCAATACTGTCTGTTCATTAGAAACGAAGCTATAGGAGTTTGGAAAAGATTAGGGGAGTCAATCAGAGGAATTTTCATGGAATTAGAGAATTTAATCCGCCGTGATCCAGCCAAAGCTGCTGTTCCTGGGGGAGGTCTTCATCCCATAACCCGTTATGTCATGAATTACCTCCGAGCTGCATGTTCTAGACCAACCCTAGAACAAGTTTTTGATGAAAACGTTGTTCCTCCAGTGGGTGTCGATAGATCATTCTCACCATCTTCTCCATTAGCAGTACAAATCGCCTGGATAATGGAAGTTCTAGAAAGCAATATAGAGGCAAAGTCTAAAATCTACAGAGATCCTGCTTTATCATCTGTTTTCATGATGAACAATGGAAGGTATATTGTCAAAAAGGTCAAAGATGATGAACTGGGTTCACTTCTAGGAGATGATTGGATCCGAAAACACGTAGGAAAAGTGCGACAATATCATGTGAATTACCAAAGAAATTCATGGAATAAGATACTCAACACTTTGAAACTGGACAACAATAACTTATCTCCCAATGTTGCTTCCAAGTCCTTCAAAGAGAAACTTAAGCTATTTAACTCTCATTTCGAGGAGATTTGTAGAACTCAATCAACATGGGCTATATTTGATGAACAATTAAAAGAGGAGTTGAAGCTTTCAGTGAATGGAGCTTTGCTCCCTGCTTATAAAACTTTTCTTGCCAGGTTTCTTAATATTCAAGATATTGCAAAATATGCAGAGAAACATGTTAAGTTCAATGTTGAAGACGTTGAAGATCGAATCAATGGCTTGTTTCAAGGAACTGCTGTATCTGGAAGTGGTCGGAAATGATAATCCCACAAGTAAGCCAAGCCACTCTTGTTTTTTATTTTATTTTATTTTTTTTGTTTCAGTTTTGTATCATACTGTCTTATGTATGTATGCATAATGCTCTAGCATAGTGTATGTTTTATGCCATGTAACATTTGTTAAATTTTGGCCATTTGTATGCGGGTAATCTCGATCCATCGATGCCCAAATATTTTAAATGTTAATGGAAGCTAAAATAGAATTGTTTCTGTGTACTTTCATTCTACAACTTGTCAAGGATTTGTTTCTTGATGCATTCAGTAACATAGCCATAAGCTTTTTCACTAGGATGAATACTATCAAAAAACAAATATTCAGAAGAGTTTTGACATAGTGGAGTCACTGGGGTGCATATAGGTCCCGCTTCCACCAACCCTGTCCCACAGCATCCAATCATCGTTTCACGAAAACCTAAAACATATATAGCAGCTATTAGTAATGAATCTAAGCTAAGCGACACAGAGTGGATCATGCAGCAAAGCCACTCTGCTAAAAAAAAGTGTTTAGAATTATAAACATACCGTATTTTTCTGGATTATTAATAATATCCATCAGTGGGTTGTATACATCTGCATATACGATTCTACTTCCTTTAAGAGACGCCTGTATACGAGGCAAGAATTGTAGAAGCTTCTTGTTATAGGCTTGAGCTTCCACATTCTGTTCCTCAACACATGTTCTTCCAAATCGTCTGTGAAACTTGGATGTAATTTGAATCGGTAGACAACCAATAGGAGGAAGCCCGGTTATTACCAGTGTACGACTACCGAGTTTGTAAAGCTCCTGCAAATATGTTCATACATACATGAACATAATCAATCAAATATAGTCGGTCATATACATACATACCTTAATGAAGTTATGGAGCATTTCTATGATGAATTCTTGGTAATTATTGATGTCGAATACGGTTCTTCTTGTTGGAATGTCATAGAAGTTAAAAATAAAGTCATTAGTGCCTGCACTAACACTAACCAAAGCATGGTTTATGATTCTCTCTGCCTCTTCTTCTCCGAATATCTTCTTGAGCCTTTCACTGTAATTTTTGAAATAAATAAGTTGTTGAGACAATGGTAAAACTCGAGTGATGTCAGCGGTGAGGTTATCGTATCCGGTTCCAGCTGAAGCAAAACAGACACCTGTACGCAGTTCATTGGCGGGGATATCTGGCTGTAGGAAGGGTGGAATTGTCTGTTTTACCCCTAGGAGAGACGCCAACAAGTCGACAGCTAGCTTCCCGTTTGAAAATCTGCCTGTGGGAATACGGCCCGGGAAGTCTTTTCCATAAGGGTAATGGTTGGCTTTGATAGGGGTAGTTATGTAATTGTTGTTGCCTGTGTCGACAGTTGAATCACCAAATATGAGAATAGCGGGAAACTTTTTGTGGGGTGAGATTGATGGAACGTGCAATAGTAGTAGTGGTAATATCAGGAAGAAAAAACGGAGATGAAGAAGCATTGTGAAACATTTGATTTGATTTGATTTGATTTGATTTCTAAAAATGAAACAGGAGAAGGTTGTATAATATATATATATATATATATATATATATATATATATATATATATTGATTATAGGGTCGTTTTGATTAGCTGGTAAGTGATGGTATAAAAGTTTTGTTGGAGTAGAAGTAAAACAGTTAAGAACCTAAAAGTAAACATTATTGACTTGTACCATCAGCAGTAGAAGCTGTACCTTGCTTTGCTTTGGGTTTTCTCCCAAGAAAAGAAAAAGGGAATTGTTGAATGATTCTGTGAAACCCCTTAAAGAAAGAGAGGAAAGTAGGTAGCTTTAATAACTTGTAACCTAATGCAATGGGACTTGTACCACATGGACATGGGCTCTGCAACGTCTGACCTGACCTGATCTGCTCTTGTGAACGCTGCAAAGTCGCAACTGCCATGTGATTGCCTCTCATTTCAGCCCTCGTTCACGATTAACATTTAATTTGTCAGACTGGTGGCGTGGTTACTGCAATTTTTTTTGTTGGTCTAAAATATAACCAATAAAATTTCTTCACGTTTATGGAGGTGATTTATGCAATATATTATTTTAGGTTTTCTTTTTATTTTTTATTTTGGGCTTAATCTAATACTAACAGGGAAGGGAACTGGTTCAAATGGAGACCACAAAAATATGTGAAAACTAATCATATTCACAATTGAGTGATGTGAATATGATAATAGTTGATATTCATCATTTACATAAAAATCATCATAAATAAACTTGCAAATATCAAACGATTTCTTGTTGTATATCATGGTCTCGGTTTTCAAGGCTTATATGGTTCTCATTTGAATCATACCTTAATCCAGTATTTGGTTTGGTTTAATCATTAATGGTTATGCACACCATTTAGACACCACATAGACATCTTTATCAAAAGTCAACCTAAAGGTAACTACTTATAATCATCGTTTTTCAAAAAATAATGCAAATACAACCAATAAAAATATTTTAAAAACTATATAAGATGTCTAAATTATAAAATGTGTGTTTTTTTAGCCGGTCCCTTTTTGGAAATTTTTGTATGTTGGTTGTCATTTCCCAGCATCATTAGTTTACTTTACATGTTAGGTGTCTACATCCAAGGATACCACATGCAGCTTTATATAAAATAAGAATGACATCACGTAAATACGGAAAACTAACTCATGTGGGTGTACAGAATCTAATACAAATAGAGAGAATGACAACGTGAATAAAATATAAAATAATATGAGTTCAAGGGATCCTTAAAATAAATAGTAAATCATAAAATGTAGAAATCTATAATCCTATCATGAATTCATCATGAAAGCGTTACCTGACAGACTCGCTATCTTTGGTCAGGTGGCCATATGGAAAAGTTGAAGGCCAGACTATAAAGACCAATGAGTAATGACACAGGCTGGTAACATTATAAAGTATAAACCCATATACATGAGAATCGATGCAATGAACTCATATAAATTAGAAACATAATTTAAAAAAAAAAAATTACATGGAAATAAAGTGGTGCAGAAACCAGACCATTTTTGGCTACTATGCATAAAGCAGTTGTGGGTTAAACCGATTTATGGCCCTGTTACAGATCAGATTGGAAAAAACTAGATTAAAAAACCATTACTTTTTTATTTGAGTTTCAGAATTTAACGAAATTTTCATGTTTGATAAGATATTATTGTGCAATAAACAGAACTCATTGTTTCAACATGACAGTAGGTCGTTTGAGAAACCTCCAAATCTGTGTTTCAACAAGTTCAACAAGTGATGAATCAAATTGACATTTTCTTTCTACTTCACTAAAAACCAGAATTCACATAGGTTTTAAATTGGGCTTTTTACCCATGAATATGAATGATCAGCCCATTTATAATTCTTTCCAATGCCCTCGTTCAATTCTATTATTACAATCTATTGGTATTATACGCACAAATACAATCCGGCATTAGAGATGCCATCGAAACAACACGATTATATGACACTTAACACCCCGTTTAACCTCTTGATTGATTTTTAAGCAAATATTTCCATTAATCAATAAAACCCAAAACCACCCGATTATATGCGATATGTAGTGGAGGCGATTAAACATCATAGTCATACTGATACATACAGCATACTGGACTTCCCTAATACTATAAACACTAGCCCAATACTCGAATCGAATTGCATTGCATTGATTACCCATTGTGACTTGTGAGTGTGAGACCAAATTCAACTAAAAAATACAAATTGGACATAAAATATCGAGATATGTCGATTAAGTTGCAAGTTTGTTTCATGGTCGGTATAGTAGAAGCAAAGTCATTAATAGAGTTTTAAGTTCCATTTTTATAAATTTTAAATATTACAAACGGGCTGAACCCGGCCCAAATAATATTGATGAATCAATTTCAATATTTCATAAATGATTTAGATCTTCCATTTCATATTTCCATTTCCATATAAAAATGGCTTTCTTACCAATGTGTATGATGCCTCTTTTTCAGTTACTTTGTACTAAATAGTATAATTACTAGAATTGGAGTAAAAAAATTAAGATACTTATGTCTCCGTAACTACAACCGAATGCATCATTTTTTAAAACATCAAATTTTTAATTGTCAATAACTTTTAAATGGTAACAAATTACCAAGCCAGTGCTCATGACATTGCATAGCGAAGTCTCGATTGTGTGTGTATATATATATATATATATATATATATATATATATATATATATATATATATATATATATATATATATATATATATATATATATATATATATATATAGACACACACACACACACTTAGGTTCACATTAGAACAATTATATAATTGAAAAGCAAGAACAAATCTAGGTCATACATTTTTTTTGCCGCAAAACCCTCCTGTGTACGGGTGCGACGGAGGAACTTAATATTCATTCGTGAATATAAATCACCACCACCGCAAGTAAAGCAACCACCACTGGGTCACATATTTCTTTTTTGCCGCAAAACCCTCCCGCGTACCGACGCGAGTATATGCATATTCTCAAGTGATTATTCATATATGAATATTATCTGTTCCGTCGTTCTGGTATGCTGCAGCGCTTAAGCGGCATATTTGTAATATGCGAGAATATACTTACCTTTATATTCACATATGAATATTATGTTCTTCCGTCGTGCCAGTACGTTGGATAGTTTTGCGGCAAAAAGAAATATGTGACCCATATTTGTTCTCGTGTTAATAATTGCTCTCATTTGAACCTTCCCATATATATATATATATATATATATATATATATATATATATATATATATATATATATGGTGAGGTTCAATAGAGAACCATAATTAACAAGGAACCAAGGAACCAATAATGAACATCGGAAATCATAATGATCAACGACCAACGAAATAGATGTACACTTTTACATTGGACGCACACACACCGGATTATACCAAAAAAATTCACCTCCTTACAAAAAAAACCACCTCTTTTTTTTGTTTAAAATTTTTTTTAGGCCACATTTTTTATCAAAAAAAAAAACCGAATATACCGTTGTTCTCGATTTTCCGTCATCTTTCCATAGAGATTCATGTTGATATATAAAAAACGAATTTTTTTTTTCGAAAAAAAAACTCACTTCATTTTGTTAGTTTTTTCAATATTTAAGTTTATTTTTATAAAAAAAAAATAATTATATCAATTTTTTTTTTGTACTCTATTAATAAACATCAACACCGATCAAAAAAAAAAAACTCGAACAGTGTAGATTCACACTGTGAATCTAAACTGTAAATATTTCAATTTTTAACATTTACAATGTGAAAAAGCTCGAACAGTTCAGATTCACATTGTGAATCTGACTTACTATTATGCACACTTGAATCTGAGAAGGTTCACAAAAAAAAAACCTCGATCAGTGTAGATTAACACTGTGAATCTAAACTGTAAATATTTCAATTTTTAACATTCACAATGTGAAAAAGCTCCGATCAGTTCAGATTCTCACTGTAAATCTGACTTACTATTATGCACACCATGAATCTGAGAAGGTTCACAATGTGAATCTGAACAGGTTCACAATATGAATCTGAACAAGTTCACAATGTGAATCTGAACTGAAATATCATTTTTTTTAAATGAATATGAATCTATGTTTAAAAAGTACAAAAAATCATGAATTTTGATATATTTATTAGATTTTTTCTATAAAAAAATAGACCTTAACTTTTCAACAAAGAAAATGAAGTGAGTTTTTTTTGAAAAAAAAAATTCGTTTTTATATATTATCATGGATCTCTTTGGAAAAAGGACGAAAAATCGTGAACAACGGTATACTTGGTTTTTTTTCGATAAAAAACATGGTCTAAAAAAATTTTTAAACGAAAAAAGAAGAAGTGAGTTTTGTTATAATCCGGTGCATGTGCGTCCATTGTAAAAGTCTACAACCATTTCTTTTGCCGTTGATCACTTTAAATTTCGACGTTTTGGATTGGTTCCTTGATTAATAATGGTTCTCTATTGAACTTTTATATATATATATATATATATATATATATATATTATATATATATATATATATATATATATATATATATATATATACTAGTCGTTACCCACGTAAAGCAGCGGACGATGAATATTTTGTTTCGGAAATTAATTATGAGAGTATGCTATTACTGAGTTGAGACATTTGTTTATGAATTTTCAATTCCACTATCAAGGCTTATAGTTTATAGGGAATGCCAATATGGTTCTTATCTAGTAGTGTATCTGTGCAATGCATCCGTGATAAATAGTTTCTTTCGACAAGTAGTATTGAGACGAAGATTAGTTTACTTTCGACATGTTGTTTTGAGTGATCTATTTTTAAATGATACCAAACTCTCTTTGAAACAAATGTTAAACATTACAATATACCTGGAAGTTGTGTAAGTAAAGGGTATTGCATCTTCTTTTATGCCTTTTCCAGTCGAACATTTTACTTGACTACCCGCGCAAAGCAACAATGACGATTACTTTCATTCGACAATTAGTTCTATTCGGGGAAAGATATTATATTTTATTAGGCCTGACAATTGTGTCGTGTTCGGGTTGGCGTGTCGCGGGTTGGCGGGTCAAAATATGCCAACCCAAACACGACCCATTTAAATATACAGGTCACGGGTTGGCGGGTCACGAGTTGGCGGGTTTGGAACATAAACCCATATATGACCCACCAACCCATTTATTTATACGGGTTCACAAGTTGGCGGGTTCCTGAGTCAGATTTGGGTTCGTGGGTCCGAATTTTAGATATTTAAGTCTTAAACATCCAAATGAAAATTAAAAACATTCATAGAAACATGTTACAGACTTAGCCTTATAGGTTACGACTTATGACCTTAGACCATCCACCACGAGTAATAATGTCAAAAAAATCAAATGGTCTATGAATAAATGATATATATTATATAA